AAGGAAACCAGCCTGCAAATTTTGTGGAGAAATTATCGCTTACTAACTTTTGAACGTCAATGTTGTAAGCGTCGTAGAGGCAGTAATTTTTTCCGCATGTTTTTTGAATTGACTTTCGAGTATAGGAAAAGTTCACTCTCGCTATAGATGGAAAGGGGAGTGAATAAATTTGAGTATCTGGCTGGATTTTGGAAACTTTCTGCTTGTCTTCTGTTATCACTTCTAAATAAGCAAATAGAACTTTTAGGCGCCGATACTCGACCAGCATCAACCCGCGTTAGGAATCCTCCTGGTGGACGATCTACAGGATTTTGGTGAATGTGGGGCTCATTGCTTACCGCTATGACCACACCTAGGCATCGTGCTGTTGGTCTGGACCGATTACCCTCCTAGTGTAACAGGCAAATGTCGCCTTTCAAACATTGCCCCTCCCTAGTCTCTATGTTGCAACATCGGCAACCTTTGATCCAAGATTTTTTGTTGTTACACTTCTTACAACCAGTCGGAACTTCTTTAAGCTTGTCATGCTTTGTTTATTTTTTGATGTTAACGCATAATTTACTAAAACCGCATTTTGTTACGGATTTCTCCGGTCGCTTAATAGTAATAATATTTTCCCTATGTGGATCAAAACTGTTGATTGTTTGGTGAGTTGGGACTCACTTGTAGCTGCGAGCTTAATAATGTCACACATATAGTATGATTTGGTCAAGTTCTCCTTTCTCATTAACATATAGTCAGTTCCGCTTCGAATCTCATCCTTTACAAGTTCTGTAAGTTAATTTTTAACTTTATTTTTCAGTGGGATAAATTTTGTTAATTAACTTCCAAGAACGACAGATGCAAATATACGAAAATTCAAACAAAGTTCATCAAGCAATAAATATCAGTATAGAAAAAATGCAAATTGACTCAATTTGCAGCTTTTTTGAGGGCACTGTAGTGAACTTGTTATTTGATTCAACTTTAAACCAGAAATCTTTCTGCGTTGAAGTTATGGCATTACAATGGAACAGTAGGTTTTTGTTTCGAGAAAAACCGTTTAGCGCCATTTTCGTCACGCATTGTTGACATCAAATCCGCTTTGTATCACAAAGCTTCATTACAGAGCTACACTAGGTGATTGCATTAGGGGCTGGCAAG